AATTAATTTTAAGTTAAAACTTAATTTTAATTACAATTTATTTAATTAATTCACATAATTAATTAATACAAGTAAAATATAAAAAAAATGTAAAGAATCAATGTTTTTAATATTCAAGCAACCTAAGTACAAACTATTGAATAGCTCACAAACACAAGCTCTCAGCATATTAAAAGTTTTCCAACAAACAAGTTCAGACACTCTCAGAATCTCAACAACAGCTCTTGTAGCTTTATGAGAGCTCTTTAATCTGCTGGCTACGAGCACCTACAAGCAAACAAGCAAATGTCAAGTGCATTAATAAAAAAGACTAAAATGTTGAAAAGAGTAAATATAACTAATGTTGATAGACAACAATGTTAAAGTAGAGTAACAACTATTATAGTAGAAAATACTACAAGTACAAAATTACAAGAACTACTAAAAGTTAGAAAATAACACTGACACATAAGTGTCAAAACTACAGTCTAGTGTCAGACTAACAAACGACTACACACCCCCTGAGCTACTTCTAAGCGAAGCAGTAAGTCCCGCCTGTTAGAGAACTTCTAAATGAATGACCCTAGATCTAAAACTCAAACTTCTAATGGACAACTTTGTTTATAAGAACTAGGTTGTAAGACTCACCATCCAACCACTTTCAATGAAAGTCGTAAGTTCGACTTTAGGAAATCTCTTTAGGCAAAAATGATCTAATCCTCGATTAACCCTCCGACAAGTTCTAATAGAAGCCATAAGTTCGACCTTTCAGGGAAAGGTTTAGGTAATAATATAATCCTAGACCTCTCACTTGAGCATCTTGGTCTATAGAGCCAGGTTGTAAGACCCACCATACATGCTACTTGACTTACAGGGCTAGGTCGTAAGACCTGTCGTTAGACAACTTCTAAGGAAGTCATAAGACCTATCCAACAAAAAATCTTCGGGCTACTCGTAATATAAGCCATAAGACCTACCATACCAAAAAATCTTTGGACCACCTTTAATTGAGGCTATAAGTCCCAACATTAGGGTCACTTTCAAATGAGAGTTGCCTTAGATGGTTTGGTCAGATAAAACGGCGGCCTTCCAATGACCCGGTTAGGAGAGTAGAGGTATTAGATTTGACTTATGTTAAGAAAGGTAGAGGCAGACCTAAAAAGACTTGGTTATAAAATATTAGGAATGACCTTTCTTTATTAGATTTAAATGAGAATTTGACATTTAATAGGACACAATGGAGAAAAAAGATTCATGTAGCCGACCCCACGTAGTGGGATAAAGGCTTGATGTTGTTGTTATTGTTGGTTATAGGTGATACCCTTCATTGAGGGAAGATATTGATATAATGGAAAAAAACATATTATGTGGTTGAAGTTGGAAGAGACCTGTGGCATAATAGATCATTTGTTTGTTGTTTTGGTCATACTCCTTTAAGAAGAGAAAATCCAAAACCAAGATATCCAATATAAATCCTAGTGTTGAAGTTGATTGTCAGAATTGATGTTTGATGATGTCTGTTGACCTTTATAAGTAAAGGTGTGCGTTGGCATTATTAGCGATTGTAGATGATGAGGTCAATATGAGTTTTAGTATCTAGGTGATAGTCATTAGAAGAATGTAGCTCGGAGGATTGTATTCGTTCGATGACTATGGTTGGGCAACGGTGGTCATAGGATCGTGCGTCGGGCAACGACTGTCGAAGGACTGTGGTTGGCTGATGGAGGTCCGTGGACCGTCGTTGGGCGAAGGAGGTTGGTGGATCATAGTCAGGTGAAGGTCTGAAGAGCCAGTCGTTGGATTAGCGCCTGATCTTTTCCATTTGACAACTGTCTAAACACAGTCGTTGGACGATCACTTGACTGACGCCATCGAACAACCTTTCGACATAATTGCTGGATAATTTTCGGACGTCCTGCATTGAATCTCTTAATCATAAAACTTTTTTTTTTCTATATTTAAGTGCCTTAATGATATTTGAATAAGTAATCTTGGGGTCGTTGGATTCGTCTCATCGAGAAACTTGATTTGATTATAAGTTTGTCAAATTTAGATATTATTTGGTCCCCAATTAATATTCCAAACTTTCTCATTGTGCTTCAAGCTTCGTTTAGGCTCATTCGGACTCAGATTAGACCATTTTTGGTATCATTGGGTTTGCCTCATCGAGTTGTTTATTTTGGCTATAAGTTTGCTAAAATTGGAGTTCAGATGTCCTGAATTTAATTTCGGAAGTTTCTAATTCAAATATGCATTGAGATTCTTGCTCGATCAAAATGATATTTGATGACGTAGCAGGTTTTATCTTCTCCTAGTTGGTTGTTTACAACTTTACATGTGTGCAGACACTGCTATCTCTTTGTTTATCTTTTTAAATATTTTAAAAGAATGCAAATTTGGGTTTTGTTTTCCTAAAAGCAAATTTATAATTTGAACATATGAAGAATTTTCTTAAAGCTTTTGCTTGCTTATATTTTATGCAGATAGATAAGTAGTATGCTGTTCGAATGATTTTGCATTATTTCCCTTTTGCCTGCTATTGTTTCTCTGAATTTTCAGATAAATCATAATGTATTCTAAATAAAATCAACTTTGTACTTAAATTCAATTGTATATTCACTGCATCTCTCTTTATGAAGTTTGAATCTTTACTGGGCATTGATTGTAGTTTTAATTTTAGATTGCAGAAAGGCATAAATTCTTGATTTTTGAGGATCGGAAATTTGCTGACATTGGAAATACTGTGACCATGCAATATGAAGGGTAGGATGACATTATATATGTATTACATATATATAATAGTTACTGTAATCTTCTAGTTTATGTTGGCAAAATTATGACGGTTCAATCTCTCCATATGTTGCCAGAGGAATATTTCACATTTTGGATTGGGCGGACATTGTTAATGCACACATAATATCCGGGCCTGGAATAGTGGATGGTTTGAAGTTGAAGGTTTGTGGCAGTGCTTCATAAGCAAAGGCTGTGATATAGAACTTCTTACTGTTAACTAATATTGTATTTAATTTTTATAGGGTCTGCCTTATGGTAGGGCACTGTTACTGCTCGCTGAAATGAGCTCAGCTGGTAACCTTGCTACAGGTGATTACACATCTGCTGCAGTCAAAATTGCTGATCAACATTCAGATTTTGTAATCGGATTCATATCAGTCAAGCCAGCATCATGGCAATGTCATCCTGTAAATCCAGCTTTTATTCATTTAACACCAGGTGTTCAAATGGTTTCTGGAGGAGATTCATTGGGCCAACAATATAATACTCCTTACTCTGTGAGTTCAATATTTTTCTGTTTAATGGTTTTGAAGGAAACTTTATCATCATTTACTTTATTAATTGTGTGTGTGCTTAGATACAGAAGTTGTCAGTATCACAATGTTATGTGTGTGTGCTTTCAAGTTAACTGTGTTTTAAGTATAATTTGCTGTAGACACTATAGTAGATTATGAAGTGTTCTTGAACTCATAGGCTGTTATGATTTCATTGTTCTTCTTCACATTGCCGTTAATGACGGATGTTGATGCGATATTTCCAACTCTTCAAACGAGTTCTTCAGTCATTATTTTGCTTTTTGTCACGTGAAATTATTATGTGCGGACACCGAACGCCGTCCGGAGACCAATCAGAATACGCCACGTCACCCGCTGCTCGGTACCTCTGACGTGGCCCATTCTGGTTGGTCTCCGGACGGTGAATTACGTTTGGCGTCCGCACAGAATAATCTCTCTTTTGTCACACACAGCATCAACTTTTCTGACAAAGAAACATGATATAAATTTTCATAAAAAAATCAAGTCATGTTCTTGGCATATATTCTGTTATGTTGGATATCAGTGGTCAGCAATCAATTAGGGAGATGAAATTAAAATTTTTGGACTTTTCTTTCTTACCTAGATAAAATTTCATCTCATATCATGGTTTGCCCAATTATTTACAATTATTGTTCACATAATGCTCATTTAGTTAATTGCAGACTGAAAAACATATTACAAAATGATAAAATTTGTTTCAATGTGTTCTTTGGTTGCTTTGGCTAATCTAAGACTCGGCCGAAACCGATCCCAATTGGCTAAAACTATAAACCATGATTTATTAGAGTATCAGATGAAAACAAATGGTTTTGCAATTCTTTTGTGAATGGAGTGTGATTAATTACTCTCTTAGCTATGTTTTTTTGTGTTACAGGTAATCAAAGAAAGAGGCAGCGACATCATAATTGTAGGGCGGGGGATAATAAAAGCTGCTAATCCGGTAGAGGCAGCTAAAGATTATCGGATCCAGGGTTGGGAAGCCTACAGGGCAAGTTGCTCTTAGAACTTCCAATATTCCATTTTTTTGTCTTTCGATTGAATGTTCTTCTTTATTTAAATTTTGATAAATGAAGTTTTGCAGTGAACTTAGGCTTTGTTTGAGACGGCTTTTTTATTGCTTCTTAAGCAGCTTTTTAGTACAAAAATTTTAATTTTTATACTAAAAATTATTTTAAGAAGCGGTAAAAAGGCTGTCCCAAGCGAAGACTTAGATTTTATTTGGGACAGTTTTTTTAGTATTTTCTAAAGAAGTTTTTTAGTAAAAAATTTCAAAAAATTTGTGTACTAAAAAGCTGATTTAGAAAATTTCAAGAAAGTTGCCCCTAACAAAGCCTTAGTTTTCGCCTTTCTAACCTCAATCACTATATTTAGAGACTTCGATATTTATTTGTGGCAAATCTTAATTCTGTATGCTAAACCAACCAAAATTGAATACACATCTTATAATTTGTGTCCTGTTGGGATAGCTTGGGAATTGTAACCAAGAAACTTTTGATAGCAGTTAATTGAGTAATGTTCTTCATGTGTGTAGCTTTTTAAGCCAGCAGTAACTTGTGCCAATATGGTTGTTTACTTGTGCCTGCTGGGCCGGTTGCTGATCATGTGGTTGTGGTTAGGAGAGTGTAAACATGTTGAGTAGGGATGTCAATTCAGGTCAACGGATCGGGTTCTGGTCGAATCCTGAACTGACCCGACATTATTCGGGTCAACCCGAACTCGACCCGTTTTTAAAAACAGGTTAGGATTCTGGACCCGAACCTAACCTGATTCGGGTCCGGGTCAACCCGACCCGACACGAATGACCCGAAGTTGAGTTAAAATTGCTAATTTTCAGGTAAAAAATTGTGCCATTATTCAATTTTTGGGTCAAAATCGTGTAAAAAACGGGTCAATCTCGGGTTTCTGGGTCAAATAGGAGTTTTCGTGTCAATTTCAAGTCATTTTCTGGTCAGTTTGGATTGCTGGGTCAACAAGAACCTGACCTGATTTTTAAAACGGGTTGATTTGTTGAACCCGAATCCGACCTGTTTTGGGTCCGGATTGACCCTAACACGGATTTTTTCGGGTCGGGTTCGGGTCGTATAAAAAATTGACACCTCTAATGTTGAGCTTGAGTTAGTCTTAGGTTTCATTTGAGACGGCTTACTGCTTCTCAAAATAGTTTTTTAGTTGGAAAATTTTAATTTTTGTATTAAAAAACTATTTTGAGAAGCAAAAACCTTAGTTTCACTTACAGTGCCACAGTCATTGAGTGACTCTTTTGAAGCGAATTGTGTTAGGATGGATTTGAAAGTTCTTTGATTTGTGTTAAGAGTGATAGTTTCATATGATACTATAAATTGCTTATATATAGTGATTTGCTCTTAATAATGTTGATAAGATTCATGTTAATCTTTATTGATTTGATTTTTTATTTTTGAAAAATTGACCAAATTAAAAATTAAATTATATTCATTTTTTTAAGGGAATTTTACATACATAACACTTGAAACTATTATATTTACCTATCTAACATCCAAAGTATACTATTTACATATCTACCATCCAAATACACCCCGTTTCATCTAAATTACCACTCCGTTATGCTATCTGCTCAAACCCATCGCGTCTTCGTCGCCAGAGTAGGTTTGCTCTCGGTCTTCTCCAGTTCTTCGGGTGAGGTGCACTAGATCGGAGCAGCAGGATGCTGCGTGGCTTTCGGCGGAAAATTCATACGGTGGTTTGTCGGAGGAGGAGGAAGACGATGGAGGGCACTGAGCGATAGTTCTTCTTCTTATACATCTTCATCTTGTTCCTCTTCGCCTTCCAATGCCTGTTTGATTTTATACAACACCTCCATACTGGCATCGAAGTTCTCGCGAAGAAGGATGTTGGTGGATTTCACGTCGCAGTGGATTATGCTCTGAGAGTAATCATCTCTGAATGCTCCTCACAGTAAAGATCTATAGAGTGCTTTTTTCCATGTACTCGTAGATCAGAATCATCTCTGAATGCTCCTCACAGTAGCTGATGAGGGAGACGAGGTACCGTTGACGGATTCAGGAGAGTACGACGATCTCTGTTTGGAATTCAGGGTATCCCTGTCGCGAACCAGGCACGTCGCGCTTCACGGCGACTTTGGTGCTGTCGGAGAGGACTCCTTTGTACACTTTACCGAACCCGCCGGCGCCGATGACGAGATTCTCATCGAAATTGTTCGTCACAAAGATGACTTCCGAATACGATATTTGGAGGTCGAGATTAAGCCGAAGGGAAGCAGAGCTCTTTGGTGTTCGATCGGCTGTGGATTCGCTTGACGTTCTAAAAGCCAAGTTCGCTGCTTTAGCTCCTGTGTTGTAGTGCAACCATGATGCATTCGTCGTGTCTTTCTCTTTCTCGACCAGATTTGGCTTTGATCAGCGGCGGTGTAAGCGTAATTGAAGGATGAAAAGCAGGAAAATAAGCAGGACAACACCGCCAAGAATGGAAGGGAGCAAAATAGACAAGAAATGATGGCCGCTGTGGCTTCCTGCTCCGCTATCATACAGGCCAAATTCACCGCCGTGGCTTCCTGCTCCGCTATTTTAGGGACAGCCTATTTCCGTGACTTGATTTTGACGGAAGCAAACGAAGTGTTATATTCGATGAGGGATAGGGCATTACGGTGGTAAAAAAGTAAAATTTGAAGTTTGGGTGTGAGATAAGTAAATAAGGATGTTTTAGATGTTATGTATGTAAAAATCCCTTTTTTTAAATACTAAATTAATAAGATCTACGAATTATAAATAAATAAAAGATTTATGTGATTATTATTTATTTAACGAGTTAAAATTATGAATTTCAGAAAAAAGTAATAGTTATATATTTTAATGTGTATTATTTATTTGATGTAATTTAGACATTAACAAGTTATATTATTAAATACCAACTATGAAACTCTTTCTAATCTAAGCACTCCATTTTCTTCTTTTTTTTTTTGCTTGAATAATTGGGAGTTAAAGCCCTCTAACATACTTTTCATTTCAAAGGGATCATATTATTTGTCACAACAATAACAATAACAGATCTTTATCTCGCTATATGTGGCCGACTAATTTTTTTTTCTCCATTGTTAAATTTTCATTTAAATCTAACAAAAATAATCTCATTTCTAATAATTTCTGATCAAGCCTTTTTAGGTATATTTCTATGTTTCTTAATATATGCAAATTTTAATACTTTTATACTCTAAAACATTTCATCAGACACTACAGGTAAATCTCTGTTTATTGATGAAAATTTGTCTTCCAGTATAAGTGATTGTTTACCTGGCGGATATTCCACCTGAAAATTAGCGTTGGTTTTTTTAGCAGAAAGACCGTCGTTAATAAACTGGCGGAAAAATCATTGGAGTTTGTAAAGCTGATTGTAAATTCCGGCGAAAAAT